AACATTAACTGAAGACACCAAAGATCTAGCTCTTTTCACAATACAGCTACTACAGCATACGACTTTCCTTACAGTAATGGAAGACATTCGACACATACTCACTCCGGCAGTCACAGGTTTGCTGTAAACTAAACACCACTCTCTCTGACAGATACTCCTCTCACTGAGGTGATTTAACTCTATGTTCTAAATTTTCAGGGTTGCGCGCCGCGAATGACACCATGTCGCCGCTTTACTAGTGCGTCGCTACAAGTCCTTCAGATATCACTTTTGTGGGTACTTTAAAACACACGGCCACGGCCTATACTGTTATTACGAATTTGCGGAGCGATTTATCAGTTGAGCCTACTCAGTGCTTTCTGACAATTCCGAAGTGGTGCCAAAACGTTTGATTATTGAGGTATATTTTTCGGTGCGCTGTGTGTTCTCTTCTCTTCTTTCTTGATCATAACAACTTCCATGGTGTTGAAACTGACTCCTCGGCTCCGTAGTGCTAGAAGCGCAAATGAATCAAAGGATCGTCGTCTGCTGAGTGCTGACCAGGATGAGCGGCGAGTATTATATGAATTGAATCGTTTTGTTTACCGATGCACAAAGACGCTCACGCCAATCCGATGCATTCCATCGCGTTGTTCAAACCCAAAACTGTAGCCGATGTAGCACGTCTTTCAAGCGACCGGTGCACTCGCATCTTGTGACGTTTTATGACCCAGGTGCACCGATGGAATCGTGCTGAATCTAATGATCTCTAGTTTTCACGGAAACCACGCAGTACGATGCACCCCGGTAACTTTGAAATAGAGCCTGTTGGAGGTCGGCCACCATGTCAACCATTATCTGCAGTCTGGCTGTGCTGTTTTAGACCATCTGCATAGGTATCACGACAACATCGTGTTTTATGGCGAGGGGTGCGTTTCCAGGGCACACAGTCTATGCTGAGAATCTCAGATTTGGCGTAGAAGCTGGTTGAGCATTGGACGGTGATATTCAAGCGGAAGTTTGGCGGACGATCGACCGTGTCCATTGGAGTTACAGCGACATCTGTGTTTTTATGCGCGAGGAGTGTTTCCATGGAAACGGCATATTGACGTACACCCCATAATTGACGTTAGAGCTGTTCCGAGGGCAGGACGCCATTAAAACCATTATCTGAAGCTCTGCGCTGCTCTGAGCATGTCAGGTTGAAGTTACGACATTATTGTGTTCCATGACACAGGTGTTTATATTTGAGCTAACGACATGTCCAAATCAAGGTTTCTCATTGGTGACTGTGCAGTAATCAGTGGAAAGGAGAGCATTTGGCATTGTTCGTGAGAGGAGAGCCTTTTCATTGTTCTGAATGAGAGATAAACCTCTTACATTGAACGTCTTGTTGAAGAACCGTAACAGATATCGGTGAAATTTCTAAGCGTGAAGCATGTCAAGGAACTTGAGCATCTGAAGTGTACTTTTTGTGTACTTTCGGGTTAATAATGTGGCCTTTTTGGCAGATTAACTAAAGGTGTGTTGCTGCTGTGGCGGGGAAAGATAAGGCTGAACTTACAATGGGGTTTAATGGAGACATGTTGAAAGTTTTTGTCACTTCATGCCCTCAAGAGGCCTTTTGTTTAATTATTTTGCTTAATTATTTTTTATTTTTCAAGCTACGAGATGTTTTCCTACATTTCTCATGAAAAAGTATGTCTCAGGAATTTAGGGTTTGGGAATTATGGCAGGTTTAAAAGAAAATATGAAGGCAAAATTAAATCTGTCCTCCACTCTAGCTGTGACATCACGGACTCTAAAATCTAAAGAAGGCCTCTTTACCAAGGTCTGAACAATGTTTAATATCTCTAAAAGTATGAATCAGATTTAAAAGTTGTGTTACACGAATAATGTCAGAAAGATGTAGTACCGGCAGGACTCATTTTTGCATTGTGTTCACCTCTCGAGTACTGCTTGTTGGTCACGCTGTGTTAGCACACCGTTACCTGTGTGTGAAGCGTGCCTCATGCTGTTCAGGATGTGGAACCCTGTGAGTGTGTGTTGGAGGTTGATGCTCCCTGTAGTGCCCCCTGCAGGTGGCACATGCAGCTGCAGCCTCAGGGCCTTGCTGCACAGCGCCCACAGCAGGCTGCGGTACTGCCCACACACATCTGCAAATAACACAGACTGACCCACGTCCAGCCACTGTACCGAGTGAGGCCAGCGTGCTCCATCTGTGGCCCCCTCTGCACCCACAGGCTCCTCCTTCTCTGGGGCTCCATCCCTTCCAAAACAAACACACATTTATCACACATGCACTGCTGACAAACAAAATATAACAAATATAACAAAAAAATATAAAAAATAATATAACAAAATATATCACATTTTAGGCCACATTACTGCTGGAAACCCTGAATTGTTACACAATGTTTTCCTGCTCACATTTAGGCAAACGTCATTAACATTGTCAAACAACTTGGTATAATTACTAGTGCCTTTTTTGAATTGCTGAAAGGGGGAGACAGGAGGAGTATCGTTTTGGGAGCTGGAGGCTGGTTGAGCTATCAAACATGTTATGTAATAAGGGATCTGCTTAAGGTAATCCATCTCTAAAAAATATATTTTATGGGCAAAAGTTACAAACATGTGGAGGAGTTACATTTTGTGTACACCTACTAAGAAAACTGTGTATCACGGTGTGTTTTACTAGTAAAAACACACCGTACAGTGGCTGTTATTCCTGACATTACCTGACAGCAGCTTCTGGCCGGGGGGGTATTTCCAGTTCAGCCCATTCCTGCAGACCATCCACACATTGGTCTTTGTTCAGTTCTGTACTCACAATATTCCAATCTGCTGAATCAGCTCTATTTCTGACTGGAGCCTTCCCATTGACTGAGAACACCTCTGCTGCTGTGTGAGAGAGTAGCTGATCAGCTCCAGGTGCAGCTGCATGTGAAACTAGTGGAGCCAGCAGCTCATTGGAGGAGAGGAGCACCTGAAACAGAAGCTCCACTGAGGACTGGTCCTGTTGGCAGAGCCCTGACAGGGAGGGGGGCTGGATGGGGGCTGGAGGGAAGGAGATGGTCGGCCATTGTTTTTCTAAGCTGGTCTCTTTTTCTACATGTGGTTTGGCTAACCTAAAAGCATTCACACTGGTCGGGGGGGTGTCTGTGTGGCCTTTGTCAAAGCACCCGGGCATGTGGTGGACAGGGGGGGGCTTGGCTTGAACAGGATGGGGGTTTTCAGAGAGTGTTCTGTCTACATGAAGGTCAGGGATGTAAACAGGAGGAGTCTGATGGCATCTGTGACAAGATGATGACTGCAGGACGGGGGGGTGATTGGTGGAGAAGAGAGGAGAGGGGGTGAGGTAGGTTTGCTGTAGCTGCTCCCAGGTCCACTCAGGTCTCAGTTCAGGGGGCCTGCAGCGGGGCCCGGCCCCCCGACTGGATGAGTTCTGACAACATGCCGAGGCCTCGCGGGTCTGTTCAGAGGCCATGCAGTGCAGCTGCTGGGCTGCCACATCTGCCTGATGCACTGCTAAAATCCTCATCAGCTCTTTGAGGGAGAAGGCAGCAGGGTGAGGCCCTCTGCTGCTGGGCTGACTGGAGTCCAGGGGGGGGTAATGAGCCTGCTGTAACACTGCAGTCCTCAGCTGGGTGGCGCTGTGCTGCGCTCTCTGCTCTCCCACCGCCTGGTTATACAGCTCCGTGCCAGCCAAAATGTCCTGCAGGAGCTCTCTGGGGACACAGTGCCCCTCAGTGTGGGCCACAGCACACAGCAGGGCGTACACATACTGCTCCACCAGAAGCAGCGCCTGCACCCCCAGCAGCTCCAGACTGCCTCTGACCTGCAGCAGCAGCTCGGACTGCAGGCTCAGAGCCGCTCTCAGGGGGGGGTCATGCTGGACTCTGGAGAACAGACAGGACCAGTGGCTGAGGTGGACCCTCAGCTCCTGACTCAGCAAGCAGAGTCCCCCCCTGACTGAAGAACTCTGGGGGGAGAGGAGAACGTTTTTGTTTGTGATTAGTGGCAGAAGTCTTCAGATGCTTTACTTCGAAGAAAGTACCAATACATTACATTTGAAAATACTCCATTAAAAGTTAAGAATCCTAAATTCTAAATCTCACTTAAGTTAAAGTACAATGGTACTGTATTATTAACCTGTTAAGCCCTGAGCCTGTTTTTCAGGTCTCAGGCTCGAAAATGACATGCCCAGAACAAATGACTATATCTTCACTTCTAAAAGGGGTAAATGAATAATATTTTTTCTCAAAGTAATGATAAACCTGTGAGTTGGATGTAGAAAAGTCAGAATCAATATAGATGTTTTTTTAATTTAAAGTAAATTCTGACTGAACATAGACATTTTTTTTAAATGATAGTGTCCGTCCAAAAGAAAAACATTACTTATTGTGAAAACCAACCTTGAATGATTGGTTAGTAGACTTAGGAATCCAAACTATAACATATAATAAGTACCCTGTATCAAGATTGACGCAAAACAAGTGACATTTAGAGGTTTAGAAAAAAAAACACCTCTGGGGTCATTTGGGTGGATTTGACCTATCTCTGACACCTCTTTAGAACCGTTAGAGCCAATAGAATCGAGGGGAAGTTCCTAAATCCATCTAAACATTACCATTGGTGAATGAGTGATGCATAGCCAGAATGCCCAAAACCGGAAGCTGAGTTGTAGCTCTCACATACTCTGAAATCTCAGAAAACAGCAAAGGTAAGACATATTTGCCGTTTTGGCTCCGTAAAGCTACGTTGTGTTTTATCTGGTTTTGCCTTCGCTGCCCTGAGTTCTGGTCGCACAGTGATGATACTTATACCTCTAGAATCTGTGGAATCTCAGCCTTCATTTGATATATTGTTTGTGCAGATCCAATAAGTAATACAATATTTCTACCGTGAGTTCTGTGCTAAGTGCGTTATCATTTTTTCGCTTAATGCTAATTCAGAGGCTTGGTATTATTACCCTTGTGTTTTGTTAAGCTAAAAATGGTTCATATCGTCAGTTAGATGAGTTTCTTCCCGTTAAGTGGGTATGACACATTAATAGGTTGTTGAATGTTAAGAAGCCCTGAGACACAGTTTTGTGAAAAAAAGCCTTAACAGGTTACAGTGATGCAAACACAGGTATGGTGAAAAAAGAGAGAACTATCCGAAGCAGAAAGAAACAGCGTAATATACCATCTGACAAAGGCCTGTGCTATAATGCTTCAATTAACTGGCTATTATTTATAATATACTCAGATCAATAGGAGACAGATATTTTAAGTTATAAATCAAGGGTTTTTATTATTATTTACAGCAGGGGTGGGGAACCTTTTTCCTTTCAATTTTTACAACATCCTCCGAGGTCCCTACAAATTGTTGAACTCAACCTCTGCTTAAAAAAACTAAAATCACAGACAATTCATTTGGCTTTTCTTTCATGATGTGCAAAGAAAACGCAACCTCTTAATCCAGATATCTTACCATGACTCGCGCATGCATGCATCGACATTTCACCACCTGAGTAGTCTTGTAGTCACCTCGCGCGACTGGTTAGTCTCGTGTGACCCGAGTGTCCCTCCACCCCCCCCCGTCCTCGATGTTGTTCGGTATTATCTCGCTATCTTAGTGTTGATAGTTCTCTACGAACATACCCTTTGGTACTCTTTGACCTTTGTACTGTTTACATTAGATCGCTCTATCTGTTAGTGTTACCTTAATACTAGGCATCTTTACCGGTACGTATCCCTAGAATTCTTTTTTATTTATACAATGTTTCCTATTTTTTATTTTATCTATTATATATATAGTGACCTCAAATCACGTTAATAACGAGACCCCTTCTTTGACAGAAATTCAAACTATTGATCTAATGGTAAAAGGAGTGGGGGGGCCGGAGGGTCCACACACAATTTCCGGAGGGTCGTCTTGCACCCCACCGAGGAGGACGGTGAGGAGGAGGAGGTACGTCCTTGTGGGTGAGTCGAGACACCCTCCGAGGACTGTCGCCCAGGGACGACGAGAAGTAAGTGCTTCTAAGTGGCCTCCTGGTGCGGAGTGTCGTCGAAAGTAGAGTGTCTTCACGCGGGTGGATGATCCTCCTTGTCGACTTCTTGAGTGTGGACGTGAATTGGCCTAGTCTTCTTGACTTGACTGCCCTCAATGAGTATGGTTAACGTAACTAGTTACCTCCTTGATCCCGTAAGGATACCGTGTGTAAATGTGGTTTTCTCTCTATATAAGTAAAACTAGTAACATGAAACTTATATGGAGTACTACGTTTAATCAGGAAAAGCCGCGGAGGGGCGAAAAAATTGCGACGAAAACCCACTGAACACATTAAGGCACACTCTTGGCTTCTCAAAAGCAAAACTTTTTCTTCTCTCTCTCCCCTCCCGTCCTTCCCCTCCTCAGTGCATGTCTATAATACCTTATTTGTGCTATATAGGTCTAGGCAATCTGGCAGGCGACTGCCTGTTGAAGAGTGAAGATTTTTTTCTTCTTTCTTTAGATCTAGCGTTTTATTAATTGTTCGCTCACGGACAAAAAAGACCGGTTCCTGTCCAAGGAACTTGGTGTTTGCTCGGCATTGCCCAGAAGTGCACCAATACAGAGCAGACTTCCTCACATCGAGGCTGATCTTCGACGAATGCCTACTCGTGGCCTTAAAGGGCGAGGTCGCCGGAAGTTTATAACCGGTCATGGGTATTCCTCGACATTGTGTACGGCGTCACAAACGCACCGACACAGGAAATCAACATTCGTGTACACCGCTAGACAACAATATCGTAGACCAATCCGATCGATACGATTGCTTAAATTCTCTCGTAAAAGATGTTGGTCCCACTTCTCTTCGAGAGAGAGGACTCTCCGAGGTTTATGTGGAGTCGAGTCACTCGCAAATTCCTGTGGAACTATACTAGTAATTATTAATAATTACTCTGTTAATCTCTGATTTACTTTTTGGTTCCATATTTTATGATATACTGTCGATTGTGTTTTTTCAACCAATTTTTATTGTTCTTATCTCAATTTGTTCCCCCCTCCACTAAACATTTTATAGGTTTTTCTTTTTCGACGAATGTGTCAAGACAAAGTCAGCCCACAACTTCTACATGGTGTATCTAGAGGAGTAACAAGAGTTCACCGTGGTCTTCACCTACGAAAATTGAAGTATAAAATTTTCTTTTTTGAGAAGGGCGCCCCCTCGTACGGGGGGCCCCTGGGGGGTTCTCTTCGAATGCCAGGGGGGGTGAATTAGGTCTTACAAGGGTACCTTTATGATTCATGTAAACGTGGTGTAGAACTACAGGTATAGAAAGCCGCAAACCACCTAGTACCGGTGTGGCAGGTGTNTTCGCAACTTTCCGCATATTTCGCAACTTTCCGCATATTACGCAACTTCCCACAATTTTCCCACATAAAATCACATAAAAACCCCGCATTTTTATCGCATAATCAAGGATTTTAGCCCGCATAATCAATGATTTTAGCCCGCATAATTAAGGATTTTGGCCCGTGTTTTTCTGGAGGGTCTATCTTACGTCGAGGCGTGCAGGAAACTAAACCCACCTCCCCTGAACATGGGTCGACTGAAGAGTCTCGTCATGCCTGCCTACAAGCAGTAGTGCTTATAAACACACTTTATAAAGTCAGGCAACACTAACCAGGCTTCGTGTGATTCTGTTTATTTGTGCCTTACTTTGACCATCCATTCACTGTCATTGATCATTGTGGAGAGAGGCAGACATTTTGTTTTGTATTATAGCAGCTATCGGATGGAATCAGTACATGGGCTGCACAGGTTGTCCTGTCCGACTATCACAACTAGAATCATAATGAAAAATACGCCGGTAAAATGTGCCTGTAGAAAACGGCTTATGCCACAATAGGATAGCAAGTAGTCAGTTTAGCTTCGGTTGCTATGCTAACATCACCCATTTTATACCAGAGACACTTTAATAACAGCGTTGTGATACCAAACGGCGTCAATTCAGACTGACACACATACTTAAGGGGAATTGGGGATATGTATCAGCTGCTTGTGTGACAGTCAGACAGTGAATACTTTGGAGAGGCCGCTGCAGTGTGAGCTAACCGGGAGCTAACAGGAGAATAAACTCCCGTGGAAGAGCAGCACTGTAGCGGTCGGTAAATGCCGCTGAAACACATTAATAAACAATGAACAACGGCACTCTGGAGAAAAGCATAAGGTTGGAGAAGTCGTTATTTAATTTAATCTGGCTTCGTGTGATTAAAAGCAACACGATCATCGACCCGACGCATTCCCCCATTGTTGTTGTTGTTGTGAGCGCCGTTGGGGAGCAAATCAGCGATGTAAACGGTGACGTCATGACGCAGCAGCGGCAGCTCTGGGCGGTGCGAACAGAGCGGGAGGAGAAAAGGGAAACCGGAGCTGAACCAGAAAAGCTCCCGCTCGGAGCTAGAAAGGGAAAAGCGCTGGTGTGAAAGCCGCATGTGAGTTTGATTATGACTGATTTTAGTAAGTAACGAAGTAACGCGTGTCGGGGCAATGTTAGTAACTGTAGTGTGATTACTGAATTACAAAAGTAGCGTGTTACACTAACCCGCTACCGACAAAAGTAATATTGTTACACCCAACTCTGAGTATAGGTTACAAAAGGGGTATTAAAGGGGCGGGTGAAACACTTCCTCTGGGGGGAATTTGGGGATTTTAGCCTTTCCAGACTATTTACATGCACACAAAAAACTATATAACCACACTACAGGAAAGGGAAAAATCCTAAAACACATGATAGTGCCTCTTTATTTTCAAACAGTCTGCTGCTGTCTACAGTTTATCCAACATGACCTAAACACACTTTAATCATCTACCAAAAGGCTATAAATCGTTGCTGTTTAGCATGACACAAAAGTAGCAGTAACATATTTGTGTTGAGCATGTTGACGCTTATGAAACAATAGTTAGCCAGTTGAATACTTGTTTACGGCGCCTGCTTATCTTTTAGGTAACACAGGTCGCCTAGCAACTTTGAGGTTAGCATTTTCATTTTTTATATTTAATATAAAGGTTAATCCACAACAAAGTGGGGCGTGGATTATCCTGCCTCTACATAAACAATCTGGCAACAATAAGAAAATAAATTCTATATACAAAACATTTCTAAGAACATCTCCGTTACCTGGGAAACCTGGTTGTAAAACAATTAGTGGAGGCCAAAGCCTTCCAGCTACAAATACGAATTAACCATGCTGATGAGTGGAGTAAATCAGAGGCAACTGCACAATCTGACAGTGTATTCTCCATGGCCAAAGTAAAGTGGATTCACCCAGACCCTTATACAACAGAGGATGAATTATTTAGTCGAGTCTGAGCTGGCAGCAGGCCGGCTGTGTTGGACAGCTGCCAGTGCAGAGCAGAGTTTTGCAAAACTTCACTGCCTTTTAAAGAATATCTGACCTCAAGTTCTCTCAAAGTGCTAGATCTGTGATGTGCAGTGCCTTCTGGGAGGCAGTGATTTGGTGATGAAGTGTTGTAGTCGGGTCTTGCGGTGTACCCGATGTCCTTCAACCTGCCTCCCATGCTTTAGTCTGACAGCCTCCAGAGGACGGGTGCGAACTTGATTTGCTCGGCTGTGGGTTGCGTGTGGAGGCGGAGAAAGCGGTAGCAAAAAGAGAAACTTTTATTTTATTTTGGCTGCAATGCTTAAAGAAAATCACTGGAGCTACAACGGGAGGTGAAACTGGTCCCTGTGCTGCTGTAGAATAAATAAATATCACTAAAATAGTGGCTATGGAAAGAAGCACTTGATTTGAATTTTTTAAAGGTCACATATTACGCATCTTCACAGATTCATTTTTGGTTCATACTAGAACATGTTGCAAGTTATAATGTAAAAAATGTTATTCTTTTACACTGCCCACCTGAATATAGCTACATTCACCGCTTTGTCTTAAAAGCTTTGGTTTAGCTTCTTTCTCTCTAAGCCCAGTGTCAGTCAGCATTTGACTGAGTCTGAGCAGTCAATCAATCCCTGTTTCCACAGCAGCTAGAGAGGCTCCCTGTGTCGACTACTCTGAGCTTGGCACTTCAACAAAAAAGAATCCCCGCAAATATTTCTAAAACGAAATTTCACAAGTGCTAGCAGAAACATGTTTTGAAATTGGGAAAAAAAATTAACAAGGATCCCTTGAAGTTTTGGTCTGTAACGTGCTAGTTTCTCACCCTTGTTATTTTGGGCATTATAAGGGCCAAAAGCTAACATAGTCTGTTTCAAAAAAGTATTTGGACCATCACTACTCGTCTCACAACTGAGAAAAAACTAAAGTTGCGTAATTCTGTTTTTTAACTTGATATTTTGAGCGTGTACATCCACTCTGAGGAGTTTGTACATCGTGTACTACTGTATATGGAAGTCTGCTAACGGAAGTGTTTTTAGACACAAGTTTATACTTAGTCACAGGAAGTAAAAATACATACGGATAATGAGCAACGACAATGTCAGCTTCCTCTCTGGCAAGACCATTATTTGGCAGAAAGATTTTAAAAAGTACATGTAAATTGAGTCTACCCCCACCTACTGATAGCAGAACTCCCACTGAAATACATTGGTCGGACAGAAATTGTTGACAGGGCTGCCAAATTGATGGTGGGAATTCAAAATAAGTCATTGTGTGGATGACTTAAACCAAACGGACAATTTTGGCATGACATGCTGTAACAAACGTTGTCAACAGGACTAAAATAA